CCAAAACAGGCCGACCCTTTTAGCACTGTAGCGGTACTTTGGTTCTTCTCACGTTTATTTTCTACCTTTTTTCTATTTTGTATCTGCCCGTTTGTAGCCCGGGTTTTTTCTTTTTGTTTCTTTTTATTTAGTTTTTCATTTTAATTTTCATGATGTTTTTCTCTTTTCCAGATTCATGAACTTTCAAAAATTTGTGAACATTTTACTAAATCCATGATTTTTTTTCTTAAATTCATGTAGTTTTTTCAATTTCAATTTTTGTAATTCATGAACTTTTACAATTCGTGTTTTTCAAATTCAGTTCTTTTACAAATTCGAGAAATTATTTTTAAATTTGGAAAAAACAATTAGACTCATGAACTTTTTTCAAACTCGTGAACTTTTTTTGAAGTCGCGAACTTTTTCCAAATGCATGAATATTTCTTAAAATATGCGAACTTTTTCTTTTCGAAAATTCATGTTTTTTTTCAAATCCATGAACTTTTTTCAAACTCATGATTTTTTTTAAAATGAACCCTTTCATACTCGTGAACTTTTTTGCAAATCTATAAATTTTTAGAAATCCACTACTTTAAAAAAATTGTTTTTTCTTTTACATATTTAGAAACTCGTTTTTTTAGAAATTCATGAATTCGGTTGAAATCTATGAACATTTTTAAATTCGCGAACACATTTGAAATGTAAGATAACTTTTGCCATTCAGGAAGTTGTTTCAAATTTGTAAATATTTTTCAAATTCATGAACTTCCTTTTCAATCTGTGAACTTTTTTGTAAATCCTTTATTTTCTCTCAAATTTAAGAACCGTGTTTTAAATCTGTGAACTTTTCTTTCAAATTTGTGAACTTTTTTTCTTCAGATTAATGAACCTTTTTTAATTTTCACGATTTTTTCCAAGTTAGTGGGAAAAAAATCTAAAATTCAAGATTTTTTCTAAATTTATGAACTTTTGAATTCGTGTTATTTTTAAATGAGTGAACTTTTTTTGAACTGCTACAGTACCTTGTAATGCTACAATGACTGGAATCAATACAATACATTCCATCCGCTATAGTGCTTTGACCCCGCTACAGCCTTGTGTAAATGGGTTGGCCCATGCGGGATGCGCCAAGAGGAAAACTAGCGCCATAGGCACCGATTATGAGCTCTCCGCGTCACACGGTCCGCACAATAAGGCATATAATGAGAGACAGTCCAAAATCAGCCTATATGTCGAGATAGTCGAGTTTCTTGCAAATCCAGGCCATATGTGGGAGGATTGGAGATGGCCAAAGTGTGTGCCACGTTCGTCGGACAGTACAACCCCACCGCTATATATGTCCTGCTCCACCCATTCCCTCTCTCTTACTCCATCCCCCTCTCTCCCACCCCATCCATAGTCGGACACGGTCCAGCACAACAAACCCTTACCTAGCCACGCAGCCAAACCTAGCTAGCCGCCGACCCCACACGATGGGATGCACCAAGGTGGATGATGAGGCCATGGTCGAGCTGTGTGCGAGGTCATGGGTGATGTATCTCCTCGCCGGCTTCCGGTTCGAGTAGTCATAGTGATGCTGTCTTCTACTCAATATGCGAGCAGGACACCTCCCCTTCACGTTGCCCCCGTCGCTTGTCGTTCGGACCGCCATCCTCATCCATGTTCCACCAACATCCTCGAATAGTGCAGGATCGCCTGTGAGTCGCTCGAGTAGGAGTGCTTAGAGGAGGAGATCGATGAGGCGTTGTGAGCTTTGCTGCTCAGTGTGGCTCCTCATCCCACGTGTCATCCCCGCCATCGTAGTAACGTGGCAGTCCCTGCCTCAGCGTCGGTGCCAACATCCCTGCGTCCTCATCCCCTTGTTGTTCAAGTCCACATGAGCTGGCTATCACGATTGTGGTCCATCTGATGTAAACTTAGCAGTGGTTTTGAACATGTGATGAATTATTTCTTTGTGTTCATATCATATTGATGCCTTATGTTTTTGTTTATAGATGCATATTTCTCTTCGACTATTTGTCTTCACTTGTCTAGTTTAGATGGGTAATCAGTTGAGGAAGGAATCAAGGCATGTATGGAAAGTGCCCGAGGATATGATCAGTTTCATATAGAAGGGGTCACCACAAGAGCCTCCAAAAGAAAAGACAACCAACATCGCTTGTACCGGCGGACGTACAACTCGCCACTGCCTCCATGTCAGTCGTCAGAAGACTATTCGTATTGGCCCCAAAGTCCAACTTGCAATGAGGCATCGAAACCTATTCCATTCATCTGCACTTGATCACGGTTACAAGTTTGCTTCATTCGCTAGTTCCACAGCCATAGCCACCATCTCCATTGGATCAATACTTGTAACCCTGATCCCACTGCAAGCAGTGATATTGTAAGATGTTTAATCATTCATCTTCAAGTAAACCCATCAATAATGTTTGTATTCTACGATTCAATTGCAATATGTTTGTAATCTTCTTGGGCAAAGGGTCGAGGACTGCCTCGCACCCCGATGTGCGTGCAACTATTCCATTATATATTTATTTTTGTACAACATTTTGTCTCTTGTATCATTCTCGATGCTACAACTGGCTGGCACCGATGCAGCGAAGATTGATACAAGGACAGGCGACACACATGGA